GCCTGGAGAAGAGAGGGCTGAGAGGGGACCTAATATATGCTTATAAATATCTCAAGGGCGGGTGTCAGGAGGATGGGGCCAAACCCGTTTCAGTGGTGCCCAGTGACAGGACAAGGGGCAGTGGGCACAAACTGAAGCACAGGAAGCTCCGTCTGAACATGAGGAAGAACTTCTTCCCTCTGAGGGTGAGGGAGCACTGGAACAGGCTGCCCAGGTAGGTTGTGGAGTCTCCTTCTCTGGAGATATTCAAGACCCGCCTGGACAAGGTCCTGTGCAGCCTGCTCTGGGTGACCCTGCTTCGGCAGGGGGGGTTGGGCTAGTTGACCCACAGAGGTCCCTTCCAACCCCTACCGTTCTGTGATTCTAAAATACACCTTATTCTTTATCTGCGTCTGTAATGAACAATGCATAAATCTGGAGAGCATCTCTGGCTTGAAGTTTGAGAGGAAACAAGGTCCTGGTTTTTCTGATGATCTTTAATGAATTTATATAGCAATAGGGACAGTATGTTCTGCATGGATGAGTTACATGCCCAGTAAGAATTGTCCCAGGTACGTCACTATATTCTTGTACTCCAGCATCAGCTGTAGTGCTGTAGTGCTGCTATGAGTATATAGTTTCTTAGATGTAACTTGTTTTCTGTTTCTGTTGTGCAGTTGAGGTACATCGACAAGTCCTGTAAGGTTCTCTTAGATCCCTGAGCATTCCAGAACCCAGATTAGGTGGTGCTGTGGCCTGAGGGAAGATTTTAGAAAACTTTAATGGTAGCTAAATTAGGTCTTAAGCCCCAGAGTTTATAACACAACATGAACATGCAGTGGGAGAATTTTAAACCTTTTCCTGCAGAAAGCTGGAGTGATTGCTTAAAATTTATACTTAGTCTACCAGAAATATACAAGAATTAAAAAGAAGTGTTTGTTTCATAAAGTAAAAAAAATGTGTCCGTTTGCTTTCTTTCAGTCTGAGAAACAGTTTTTGGTGATAGTAGTAAGCATCAGACCTGTGAAGACTGCACTGAATTCTAGAGAAAAATTTTTTTTAAGAGTTTGCTATATGGCCACAACAAAACCAGAATTCTGAACAAGAGACCATGTCTTCACAGGCATATAGGTGTTTAACAACCTTCAGAAAGGATCTAAGAGTAAGACACATAATGTGTTTCTGAGCAGCTGTCTAAATGATACTTTTGCTTATACTCTTTGTTCTCTACTGTCCTGAAGCATTAGATTGTCTACTAGATCAAGAAAGTGTACAGGTCAGACTTAAAAGAAAGACTTTCAACAAAGACAAAAAATGAGGTTCTGTCATTGGTATAACTTGCAGATTTTGAAAAATCTGTCCAATTTCCATTGCCAAACAGACCTTTTAGGAAAAAAAACCAACCAAACAAAAAACAATCAAAAACCCAAGAAAAGGTATCCATGAACAGTTTTTTGTACACAAGACGTGTACGTATTTTCCGAAGGAGTATTTCTCTTGGGTGCTAAATAAATATAAGTGTAGTTCTACTTGAAGATGTATTAATAAAAGAGACCTACAGTTAAAACACAGTCCAAAGTTGATAGTCTCCTTTTCTTTTCTGACATAAACAAATTAGCTATTTGACAAACTGGTTTTTTTGTCAGTATTTCAGCTGGGAATATTTCTGCACACAGGTTGTTGTTAGTGAATGTAGTCCATTGGTTTTGAGACTCTCTGGCTTGCTTAGTCTCCACAGGCAGCAGCAGACCTACTCTCCTGTCAGAGTGAGGCATTTGTGACTTCAAGGTTTACCAGTGGGAGGACTGAGGGGTTGTTTCCGTTAAATCCTTCACTTTGCTATTAAGATGGTAAGCAAAGAACTCTAGAAGTAGCAAAATCTTCAAATAGGACACGCAAAAGAGCGTGCACAGATTATATACACTTGCTACACTGACACTGCATTTTTCTTTTACCACAGAAGTTCTGATTCAGATTCAATTTGAATTCAGGAAAGAAAATATCAATTTGGAAGAGATTTTAGAAAAGCTCAGGAAATTTTTTATTTATTTTGTGAAGAAACTACGTTACATATTCATATAATGAACTGTTTTCTGGCTCTGTTAGTAATTTAGGACGATGCGAAGCTGTAGCTAAAAAGGGCAAATGTGTTAAAATCACTGAACCTGGGCAACGAGAGCTCAAGAATTTTGCATAGGCATGGGACAGAATTGGTGTCTTTGTATTAGTGACCCTCAAAGGATTTATCTTCCCTGAACTCATGCACTCTATCTTTAAGCACACGTAAACTTGCATCCACAGCACTGAATGGGGGAAGGATTTCCTCAGCTCTGTTCAGTGCCACGTTCTTTTGCTTGATTCGAACATGGCTCTTACTACCTTCACTAGATAAACCCTGCCTTGTTCTTTATGCAACATCTTGAGCCTACTCCTGATGTTGTGGACTTCAGTCATTATCTCTGTTGTTTTCACACTAAATCTTAAGTCGCCTCTCTTCCAAAAGGAAGAGACCTTGGGTTGCTTGATAATGCCTTGTACGGATGCCGCTTGGTATCCTTGACAACCTTCTGTGGCAGCGTTTCAGTTCTGTATCCTTTTCTAGGGGAAGAGAGGGCACATGGATTGCACACAAAATTCAAGATAAAAGTGCATGTTAGATTTATATAGTGACTTCAGAAAGTTTTTTGTGTTCTGTGTGTTAATTCCTAACATTCTCTTAGCTCGAAATTTAGTAGCAATCAAAAAAGCAAATTTGTTTTCAGGAACTATTTATCCCAAGTAATCCCAAGATCTTGCCTTTATTGGGAATTATTTGCTCTTTTTGTTTTATGTGGGAAGTCGGGACTTTTTTTTCCACTGTATGTATCACTGCCTATAGATTTTTGGTCTTCTGTCTTACTGTCCATGCAGTCTGTCTCATAAGTCCTTCTGCAGTTCCTTTCAGTCGGCCCTTCTCTTTGCTCCTAACGATTAGTTAATAACGTCGGCAGATTTTTTTGCTCCATCATTCACTCCCATTTTCAGGTCACTTATGAATATGTTGAACAGCAGGAGTCCAGGACAAATTCCTGTGGATAACAGTTAGCAATGCTTATGTAAAATATTCTGTATTAAATAAATTTGATGGCCATCACTGATGTCCATGCTTAAAAAAATGTGTTGAAAAATTAGTATGAGTTATTGAAACTGCTTTGAAAAGAATTTCAGGTTTGGAGGAGTGTTATACATACATACACACATATATACATACTGTTATACAGTTATTTTAACAGAAGACTGTCAGCCTGGACATGGCTTTAAAACCTGTCATGAGTGTATACTATGGAGATGTATCTGTAGCTCTGTCTGCTGATACAGAAAAGCACCTGTGATAGCTTTTCTAGCGGATGCCCCATTCTTGAGATCTGCACAATGGATACCTGAAGTGTTCTGCATTCCTTCACCAAGCCAAGCAAGAATATATTGAATTTGCTATCTTCATAAAGCTTCTGATAGTTCTTTTCATGCAGGCTGTGACTGTAGGGAGGTAGTGTTCATAGTGACGCATGTTTTAAAAGTGGGCAAACACTCCACACTAGTTAGTTACCAGTAACATGAAGTTCCTCCAGACTAATACACTTACGGCTAATGCATTGTTTTTCTGCCTCTGTATCTTAGTCCGCGGGTTATCTTGTGCTCTACCTGGGTATGCTGTGCTAGCATGTTACCAAAGGAACGCGAGAAGAGGGTGGGGTATGAACATGACCTAAGGATATTGCTATGCTAAAGTATTTTCAGGAAGTTTTGATTATTTAGTTACAGACATGTGCATACACACCACACACATTGAAGGACTCAAAGTGACTTTTCTATGGTAGGTGTCAGTCTACTGTG